CACAAACAGGATGGATTGGTCTAGACAAAGATTAGGCAGATTTAGTTCATTGTTTTATCTAGTCATATCTCATTTTCATATTTGATTTAACAAGCAACGCCATTTTATTATAATTAGTTACACGGTACTTAATTATATAATTAGTATCTAATGAGGTGGCAATCTGATGTGCAATTGGTGTTTGTCATAGCTGACGATGTGCCCTAGAAGTGAGTTTTTGGGCCATCAAAGCTTCCTCATATTGATGTAAACAATAATAAAAAAGTAAATGGCTTTCGCAGCAGAATAGAGAAAAGAGTTTTTTTTTGTGTGGATGGAAAACGTAAGAAAACTGGACTGAATTTCAAGGACATCACTGTTGTCCAACATTACACTTCATCTTCGTTTCATCTGGACATTATTTAATCTGGACAATTTCTCCTCACCTCAAATAAATCATCATCAAATCATCAAGTATCATCGGACTGTTTTCTATCGTTTACTTTGGTTTATCTTTGAGTTTGTGCACTGGTTTATGGAAGAGAAAATAGTTTTTGCATGTTTCACTTCATATTCTCCATACACAGTCACAAATTCGAGTCCCACAATCTTCTATGTTTCAAAAGAACTCACTATGTCTCCGCTAGATGCTGTGATAGCCACTATGATGTAGTGTGTTAAGATGGACTGGCTTCGTGCAGGTGATGGAGTAACCCTTGGTTTGCTTAGTCTGGTTTTCCCTGGTGGGCAGCTTCCACCTGGCATACCAACAGGACAAACTCTCTGTGTAAACAAGCTTGTCTGGGATCTTCGGAATTCAGTGGGCGACAAGGAGATGTAGGGGCTAGCCTTAGGTTTACTTAGTTTGGATGAAGTAACATGTAGCTTCTCAATAATATAGCACCCCATGTGAATTGGAATTCACACGGGGAGCTATATTGTGGGTTTTTCCTCAGGGAGTGTGGGTTTTTAAACCAGAATTTCAGGTTTTCCCATAAGCCTAAAACAGCGCTCTAAGCTAACAATTACATTTATTTTAACTGATTGACAAAAACCCTCGTCCATGTTTCACAACGCACGTCTGTTCAAACGTTTCAGAATCACATAAAGGCACACAACCAAAATTCTTGAATTTAGATTCACAGACCATTCCGAGGTCAACCCAGGAACAATCAGCCACAAGTGTTCTTAAAATGTGAATTAATATACTTATTTCCATTTTCAGCTAGCATTGACAAGTTCATTGCCTATCAAGAGCGGTGGGTACGAATGTTCTACGCAAGCTCTTTGGGAATGGATAATGACCCGTGACTTCACCCCTGAACGAGGCAGAGGGCTGGAAAGTAGGGTGGCTCAGGCGATGTCAGAGGATGATAGGTCAGTAGGTTTAAGTAAGTGTACATTGATTAGCATGACTGATAGAACCCTTGGTAACTCATCCTGAAATTTATTATTTAAACTTTGCTTATTTCATCCTTTCAAACACAAAAAATCATTAATATAGTCCTAAAATGTCCCCTTTGTACTAAAGATACAAATAAAAACTTTCATTTGTTCTCCTTTTCTTTATTTCACCTTATTATCACCTGCTGCGTTTCCTTAATTTTCCCCTCACCTGTTTCTTGTTTCTTGCTCTCGTTTAGGCATCCCTAAATTTCGTTCTTTCCAGACTCTTTTTGTCAGACTATTTCACTAAGTTTAGTCTATGCCTGTGATCCATTCTGTTCTCCGTCTGCCAGTTACCTTAATAAAGACTTTTGTTGCTTAGTGGAACTGGGCATGATCCGTATAATATTCATTACATGTTTTACCCGGGAAATGTTTCTGTTTAAAAATACACGGTTAGAATATTACAAATACTCTGTAGTATCAGATTTGACTGCTGTTAGGTACTTGTATTTGTAATACTGATACCAAAGACATTGACTTTCAAAAGAACTTTCACTTTCACAGCACAGAAACTCTGTCAGCATCAACAGAATGTCAAGCTCAGTGGTGTGGAAATATTTCAGAATTAATAATGACAACCCCCGGGAGATGTGATGGACTGGCAACCTGTCCAGGGTGTACTGGTGTATTTCTATTGTAATAAAAAAAAACGTTGAAATATAGATAACAACATTATTGACAAAAAAATATATGATTTAATTATAAACAATATTTTAATGAAACACAATTTCTCTGGTTTGATGTGTATGAAAATAGAGACATACTTGGAGGCTTCTTCTAGCAGAGGAAACTTCTGGGGCGTACAAATGTTTCGCAATAAAAAAAAATAAAAATTTTAAAGTCAATATTTAACAGTTGGGTAAGTCCATATTTAAAATTAACCCGTTTGTTCTTTTTGCAAGCTGTTTCAAGCTGCTTGGACAGTGATGTTGGCAGCTCCATAAACCCCATGAAGCTGGTGACAATCAAGTGATACTAGGAGCTTCTGAGGCCCTGACTCCACTGGAGTGAAGCTCTCTGTCAGTGTCATTGTAGCCATGCTTTGGATATTGCTAATTCCAGGAACAAAAGAGAAGAAAACAGGAAAAAAAATGGTTATTCTGAGGTTTCGCACAAATACAGTAGTCCCCCGAGATACGAATGCTTCGAGTTACGAAATGTTTGAGATACGAAAGGTCTCACAGGAATTTTTTGCTTTGAGATGCGAAGAAAAATTCGAGATACGAACAACCACAAGCAGTTCTGCTGTATTTTCCGCTTGACGTCATGACGTCATTGTGCGCTTCCTGGTCATGTCGCGTTCCACTTCCAGGTGCTGATACGCTTCAAAACACTTCAACACCACAGCGAAACATTATGCATAGTTTACCAATAATGTGCTACGACAAAAGTTAAGAGTCAAGGTGTAAAAGAAATAATGTTTATAACGTGGAAAGTGCTGTTCTGTAGCGCAACTTAGAGAAACCCAGTGGCACGTTCTCAGAAGCGTCTCTCCATCTGTCTGCGCTTGTGCTTGAAACCGTGTTGGTGTTCGTAATTCGTGAAATATCTCGAGAAAGTTAACTTTCATACGTAGTGCCGTAATGCTTCTGCCATCCGTTCCACCTCAGACACATCGTTTCACATATTTTGCGCGTGTTTTATTCTGTTTTATTATCATTTATTACATTAACAATGTGTAGATTTAAGGATTGAAGAAACGTTACTTGATTTTTCTGTAGTTTTCTATTTTTTTTCATCTACTTATACTGTTGTTTCTGAGAGCCGTTGCACGGATTAGGCATTTTACATTTAAAACTTGCTTCGAGATACGAAATGTTTGAGATACTAACGTCACCCTGGAATGGATTAGTTTCGTATCTAGGGGTACCACTGTATGTGATAGTCATTAGGGTTAGAACCTTGCAGTAATGAATGAAACGTTTTAAAGAACTACGCACCAATCTCATTTTTATAGTACTGTGTAAACGTTGTACGCAGGTGTAAAAAACAAAATGGAAGCGTTGACTCATCAGTCCTGAACATCTGCTACCATCTGCACCCAGTTCCTATATATCAATGCATACTTGAATTGCTTGGTACTCATGTCTGAAGTTATTGCTTTTTGGCTGCAACTCTTCCATGAAGACCACTTCTGATCAGACCTCTTTGGACCTTGGTTTCTGAGCTGGCATTTCCAGCAATCTAATGGTACAATGTGTTTGCTCATTGTGTCAAAAGCCTAATGGATGATTAGAAACACCTTGTGTGATCATAATAGCACCACTGAAATTGATTTAGAGGGTTAGAGAAGCAAAAAAACAGACCTTCCTTTAAGAAGATTAAGTACCTGGAGCATGACATTTATAGGGTCTTTAAAAAATGAATTCATGTGGAACTCAATCGTTTTTTCTTGTTCGTAGAAATGAAGGCTATTCTATACGACTACTAGAAGTGTAGTGTCAAATATCTCCAGATTACCTCAACAAATCAACACCTAGAATGCCAAACGTATGCAAGTTCCTGCAAATAGGGGACTCTTTAAAGAAAAAAATATTTTTTCAAATAAATATCAATATTTCTAACCTTTTCAATATCTTAGCTATATATTGTATTTATTTAACAACTCTTGTATTAAATAAGTGTGACTTTTCTTAGAAAACCCCAAACTTGTGAACAGTAGTGTAAGTATTGAATATTTGTGAGAGGCTTATTGTGCCTTACCCTTGGGAAATCTCCCTGATGCTCTGCAGTCCAAGTCCTTCAAAGCGAAACTTCACTTTCTTCAAGGTATAATTTAACGGGTTTCGGAAACTGATAATGGCCTTTAGCTCCTCACCAACAACAGCATCTCCATCAATCTAACAGAAAAAAGTCCAACCAAAGTCAGTTGATCCACATCCCTTTAATAGACCACACCTTCTTTCGGCTGTTCCCAGTTTAGGGGTCGCCACAGCGAATCATCCTTTTCCACCTAACTCTGTCCTCAGTATCCTCTACTCTTGCACCAACTACCTTCATGTCCTTTTTTAGCACATCCATATATCTTGTCTTTGGCCTTCCTCTTGACCTCTTGCCTGGCATCTCCAACATCCTTCTACCAATATAACCACTATGCCTCCTCTGCACATGTCCAAACCATCTCAATCTGGCCTCTCTGACTATTTCTCCAAATCAACCAACCTGAGCTGTCCCTCTGATGTGCTCGTTCCTAATCTTGTCCATCCTCATCACTCCTAAACTGAACCTACACCACTAGACCACACCAACAGATAATATTCTATACTACTCTAATAACAGACCATTCGGAGTTGTATGTGGGGCACTTACTTTGATGAGTAGGTCCGGGGAGCACAGCCTGAATCGAAACTGAGTTGCCAGAACCTGTTTGGTTTGTGTGACCCGCCCGGTGAGCGTGAGCATCAGCATGGCCTGGTCCACCAGATGAGCTTTGTACCGATCATGAGGTAGACACCACAACACTGTGTCAACTAAAAGAGGGAAAACATAGAACACAATCAACAGTTTTCTGGGATGGGTAGTATTGGGTTTGCAGATTTTTGGTTAGGAACGGAAATCTCTTATTTTCCACATTGTCGTGGCCTAGTGGTGAAGGTGATTGACTTGTGATCAAAAGGTCGCCGGTTCGATCCACAGCTCCACTGGGAATCGAAGGTGGGATAAGTGTTGAAACTCTCCCTCCTGAGACAACCATTACTGTTTACAACCATTGCTTGGATAGGTTAAATGCAGAGCACAAATTCCTTGAATGGGTCACTCCATACTTGGTCCTAATGTCACTGTCACATGGAATTTTTATCTGTCCCATCTATGGCCCACCCAACTAGCTTTTGCATGAATTAATCGTAGTATATAACTGAGCACGTTAATAACATAAGGAATACTTCATGTGATGTACAAATGACGTAATTTTTGCCAGATGTATTACTGATTTTTGGCACCCATACCAAACATTAGTGCCAGGTTTGCCAGACAAATGTCAAACTTGGGTCAAATAAGTTTTTGACATTGTATAGAATGCTTTGTCTGCTATGTGAGGCATGTGAATGTCAATGTTTCTTTCAACGCCACTGCGTATGACAGCGTTCCACTTTAGCACCAGAGATTTTAAAAAGTTGTGCTTTGTGTTTAATTCACTTTAATTCTGATTCATATTTAATGCTTTTCAATGAATAAACTTGTTTTATTCCCATGTTAAATTCAATTTATTTAATTAAGTTCTTGTTTTGAATAGTATGCACATCCATTATTGATTTCAGTAAATTTTGTGTTTTTTGTTCAAGTCATTTTAATTAATTAGGTTATGGTTTGTATTTAGTGCATATCAATTGAAGCAGTTGTCCTTTTTTGTTCTAATCATGAACTGTTTTAATGATCCTTTGTAAAGGAACACTCACTTTATCCACTGATGTCACAATGTACTTAACTTCATATTACTTTTTTAACTTGTTCTTCTGTTACATATAAGGTTAGTACGTAGTTAACATAAGAGAAAGACTTGAAAAGGATATTACTGAAAAAGGTCAACACGGGTTATTGAAGTACTCTGTGTATCGTCATGGTTACCGATTGATTTAACATCATACAACTGATACAGTTAGTTAGTGTTATACAGTCTCAAGTGTGTTCAATTTTGGTGTTATTGCATACAGGTCAATGCAAGTTCAACATGACACCTCATGGCAAAAAGATAAGGTCTCTCACCTTGATTGGGATTGAGTTCAAATGGCATCTGGCTCTTCATCACAGTTGCTTTGTACACCCCGGTGTAATACATCACTGCCACCTGCCCAGTTAGGGTGAAAGTACGTTGTTCAGAACTTGTGTTTTTCACTGTGATGTCCAGTTTGACATCTGCCCCAAGCTTGGGCTCTTCTCCATTCATCTTTATCTCAATATAGACATCATTAGCACTGGAGACCTCATAGATCCCACGTTTGGATCCAAACTGACAAGCGGTTTCCACTGCAATGCGCTCCTCTTCTGAGTCTAATCAATGCACAGAAAGTATCTTTAGTTTTGAAGGTTTGTAATCTGAGAGGATCAATCCTTTTATTTACTAATTACAGAATTTCTGGGTTGTTGGTATAAATCAGATGCTTTGTTACTATACAATACCTTTTTCTAAAGTACCGTATTTTTCGGCTCATAAGACACACCGGCACATAAGACGCACCCAATTTTAAATGAGGAAGATCTAGAAAAAAAAGATTCTGAACCAAAAACTGTTGTAAAATATTTTATATAAACTGTGTAAAAGTTAACAACCAAACATGTAACATGAACATAATAGCTAGTAAGATAAGACGCACCAACTTTTCCCCCTCAGTTTTGGAAAAGAAAAAGTGCGTCTTATGAGCCGAAAAATACGGTATACTTGAAAAACCCATATATGGAAACAGTAAATTTGAAACCCTAGTTTATACACTTCCTTTGCCTTCTGGTGGTGTAGTTTATTACCTTCTGGGTGTTTGTAGAGATGAGTGATATCCTGGCGCGCATCAGAGCCAACAGCTTTGGTGCTGATGTTGATTCCTACTTCGTTTTTCTCAATATTGACAGGAAGGCACTCACCATTACTGGCCACTTGCCAATACACCTTATCACTGTTAACCTTGGTGATAAGTGAAATATGAAAGTCTTATAATTATAAATATTTAAATTCGTACATTTCCTTTTTTCATATTAAATTATGTCTAATACCATCTAAAGATCTCTAATAAACAGTCTAGTATTTATTTATTTAGTAGACATATGTTTACCTCTGCAAATACAAATGGTGTGTCATGTTTTAGAAAAACCAGCCCATTACGAACTGCTGTGACTGATGCAGGACCACATCGGAAAGCCCCCTGACTTGTTTCCTGAGGGGTAGCATCTATAACCTGCCAACCTCCCATACCTGCTGGCAGATCTGGACGGGCCATCCAGCAGTCGTTCCAAACATGGAAGTTCCTAAAGAGACAATACAGATGTGTCCATTTTATTTTATGCAAATATCATTACATGCCGTACCATCCTGTTCCTTTCGGTCTGAATAGAAGATAAAGTTCTACTCTTAGCAGCAAATATCCAAGACAAAAGTCTTTATTGTTTTGTGTTGACAACATTCCATACCCCTCTTTTCGTCGTATCTATCAACATAGTCTACAGGGGATTTGTGTTAAAGGGTAAATAGTTGTATTTAAATGACACTGCGGAATGAAGTTGAGGGATGAAGGACACTGAAAACTCTGAGCATCTGAGAACCCCTGCAAAGGCAATAATAAAAGTGGCACCTAGAGTAGGAGCAATAATCGCATTATAATTGTTGGATCAGAGGAGAAGGATCCCCCTATAGATGATGTCTAGGGTTATAGGGAACGAGAAAACAGGTCTTAGGGATTGGGACCTCTTAATGCTTTGAGTCGCTTAATGCATTGTTTCTTAACCATGGGGCCGCGGCTTAATCTCGGTCCACGAGCGCCAACTAGTGGGCCACGAAAAAAAATCTGTTCTGAACGTGTGGGCCGCGAGGGCCGCGGGACCTGACTGGCGCTTCCTAGCACTTGGTAGCAGTGAGGTGTCAGTCAGGCGTTGTGGTATGCGCCAATAGAGCTTCGGCCAAATAAGCTTGTTATTTCATTTTATTTATTTATTTTTTTTACCTTTTAAACCACACTCAAATCCATCAGATTGATGGTAAGATGTACCAATGTTCTCTCTGTTAATAACGTTAACTTTAAAACGGTCTATTTTGGTCCAAACTTGCATTAAGGGGATATTGTTGTTTTGGTTCAGTTGAGTTGAGCCAGCTTCACCGTTACATTCTCACTGTACTCGCTCCAATACAGAGTTTAATAAAAGAGTCTTACTAAGACCAAAGCTTGCAGCAGACTCAGAGCATCTCTGGAGGCTACCCTAAGAGTGAACCTTTCCCCCTTTCCACCCAGACTGAATTTGATCATGTCTAAGAGACCGGCCCAAGTCTCTCATTAAGAGGTGAATATGAAATGTGATTTGTAGCATGTTAAAAAACAGACTGTTGTTAATTTGTCACAGATTTGGAGAGTGACATATGGTACAAAAGTTAAGATTACTAATTTGTCAAGTTCATCAGCAGGTTGCACTCTATTTAAGTGTCATTTACAGTTTATTTCATTTTAAACTTATTTTAAGTCTGCCATTTCTAATTTGTGCTAAGCACGACAACTTTGGTTTAAATGTTCAGTGTGAAAATATTGTTTTCTTTTACTTTAATTTAAAGAATACTTTAAAGATTTTACTTTAATAAACCATAAAATGACTTAATTTAATAATTAAACACAAATCAAACAAGATGTGGATCAATTTACTTTAACAAGTTATTTGAATGGGCCTTGAATCACGTTGTACAGGGACAATTGGGGCCCTAGTTTGGGCTTTCAGTTTGGCTGGAGAGTGGAAGGCATGGTGGCATTTAGTTAAACTGGACACCACTTAGATATCTCTGTATGAAGCCATTTGGTGGGGTGATGAAAATAATTTAGTAAATCTATTTAGTAAATCGTTTGACTATAACACTTGCATTTTAAAGTAAAAAATGAACTGTCAAATCATCCTCGAAGATAAAAAGTGTTCCTAAAATGTAGGTTTATAGAAACAATTCAGTTCGGTTTGGTGAACCGGTTGGTGAACCTCAGATATTTTTTATTTTTAAATGTGTAAATGTTTTTTTTTATTATTTCATACTATTTTTTATCAATAAATCTCAGAACCAAAGACAAAAAAATGTGTTTTTGATGCCTTGTTTGCATTGCCTTGTTAACAAAAGGGCTGCTCTCTGGGAAGTGTCATGACGCAAGTACAAATGTTACCTACTGTAACAGCCACATCAGAGTAACCATTCAAAAAACAAATAAAATTTGAGCTAACCAGATAGCATCGTGTGTAAGATCCTCTATTAGCTCATATTTGTCATCCAAGTACACATCAGTAGTCAAGGAGGCGTCTGTGTCATGGGCAGAATTGAAGTTTGTCACACTCCGGGCAGGAATCCCTAAACATCTCAGCACTGAAAATTTAAAAAAAGTTTCATCGTCATATGGATTGTCCTCTAAAATCTTTGTCGTATAATATTTTTACTGGGTTTAAAGTGGTTTATTCAGAGAAGCACAATCTTACCTGAGGTGGTAACTCCAGAGAATACCCAGCACTGTCCGTATCTGACTGGGATTCCTCCACTTTTAAGATACTGTCTCAGGATCTCACTGCTGCCACTCCAAAATGTTGGAGCCGTACCATCCTCGTACATCCCTGACCAGTCTCCCATCAATACACCATTGTCATCAGGAGTGTTAATCTGTCAATTTTAAGACATAAAAAAGATTGTGTTGCATTTGGCTGGTGCCAATTAGAAAACTAAAGATTTTAGTAGGTGGTCCAGCATTACCCAGATATCTTGAATCTATCTTGAGATGTTTTATGAATCATTGGTCTAATGACCTATAATATTTTACATGTATACAGTGTTTCATGCAACTCAGGACATATATAACTTGTCTATTTCTGTAACTCTTTTACAGAGTTTTTGCAGGCAAAATATAAAACAAACAGCTTTCCTGTTAACATGTATAAAATGTTGCACTACAAATTCTCCATTTCTATATAGGAAAAACTTTTCAACCTCAC